TAATATTTTATATGTCTTTATTGTTCTTCAGATATTCTCCAAAGAATGGCCTTGGACATTATTCGGAAAGGCTCAGTCCCGTCGAAAAAAAGACACTATTTATAACGTATAAATTAACGACTGGAGAGTCACCGGTGCGGTAAACTCAGTCGATAATTGTTACTAATTATGAGAAAATCAAAAAGTTCGTAGTTTGTAACGGATAAAATAAAAGTGGTCGAAAAATTATTAACTTCTTTATGGGCAACAATCATAATTTTTATTAACCTTTAGATTGAACGTGCGCCTACGAAGGAGTCAGTTTTTCTGATTTGACATGACTAAGTAATAATGGGACTCTCAGTTGGTGGCGCTTAATCTAAAATGGCAACTAACCGCCAGAATAGTTTCTAATAATTTCAAAGAAAACACTTTATTATTGTGTTCAACGTTTTCCAACCGACATTGTACGTAGACATCTATGAGCACAGTGTACACAAAATCAACCGGTAAATAGATAACTGTATAATAAAAAATATACACACACATTATAATAACAAGTTGTAAATTTGCTGTTATATGTTTATAACCCACCTTTTTTTTTTTTATTGTTAAATAGGTAATAATAATAATCGCGCGCGTTAATCTTCTCGTTGATGTTGCCGCCAGTGACACCACTACTACTGTCGCAGCTCTGGTGGGTTCATTCGATTAGCCCACATTCGTATTTCGATTTCCAACGCAATTCCATTTTTAAATTGCATGCAAATTTTTATAAAATGCCATTCGTAATTTTTTCACGCTCACGGGGCTTATGTCTACACGTCAAGTTTTGAAAACCTATTAGGCTATCCTACATAGTGTGAGTCACTAAACACACACATTCGATCATTGTACGCAGCAACAACCGCTAACAACGTCATCATCGCAACGAGGGCAATAATTCTATTCTCTAGTGTAGCCGTTCCAGAACAAATACTAATTTTTACTTCGCATTATAATGTTTATCATCCGGAGATTGTGTCATTTATCAAATGGACTTCTTGAAAATCATTATTCACGTCGAAATTTCCTTGCGTACACAGACTCCCGCGTGCAAATTCCAGTTCAATGTTGTTTAGTGATATCCAATTAAAAATTTAACTTTTTATTCGAGTAGGTAGTACATCATTTGCCTTTAGGAGGAACTACGAGACGGCGCCAGAAATTTCACACGAATTTTAGAAATGCGTTGTTTAATTTCCGGGAAACAAAAATGAATCCTCCTTCCTTTCCTATCACTCTTTGTTCACTCCTATCTGAACACTGAATAAAAATTTGATACCAATCATTCACAAATAAAAATGCAATATTTAAAATAATAGGTTTCCTATGGATGATGCGAGAACGTTTTTTTGAAAGTTTATCTATATTTTTTAGGTAAATAATTATTTAACTGTTTGATAACATTTTTATTGGATATTCTGGATGCTACCTTTTTTATTTAGTTTTCGGCTAATAAACTTAACTTATTTCATTTCTTAACATTAAACTGTTATTCATTACGAATGAAACATTAGAAAGTACAAATAACAAATACATTTTGTGTTTCTGATTAGTAGTATTACTCTCAAAAATTTTTTTTAAAGTTAGGTTTGTGAGGTATAATTTTTTAATTATTTGTTTAGAAATTACAATAAGTCAATATTTTAAATGTTAATTTGATATCATTGCAAATAATCTTCGATAATAAAAGTAAGCCTTATGTTACACAAATTGTTTGATCGGTTGTGTAATCAAATGACATATATTTACCGAAAGGGGTAGATACTCCTTTCATAGCTCTTTGTAATCGTTGTTAATACTACTATGCAAACATTAGAAGGATAAAGTCCTCAAAAATTAGGAAATTTTTTGTGTCTTTAAAATCATATTTTCTTATAATTTGATAACTGAGTGATTTAGATCAATCATTTGATTCTTAATAATATGTGTTAGAAACCTTTCGATATCTCATTGGCCTTCGAACCTAACATGGATACGAACAATGTTTCAGAGACCATATAGTTTCATGATAGTGTAAAGTATACCTAAACTTGTCTGAGATTCGTTGTGGAATGCGATTCGCCATTGCTAATAAATCGGACAAACGCGTTTTCCCATTTTAAGTCTGAAGTGAATCATTAGTATTCCTTTCACAAACTATCTTCAACCACCGCAGACTTTGTGTCTATCAGCTGTACTGTCGCTGTTTCACGTAAAATCGCCCTTGTGATTGTTTTATTTCTTTTATTTAACGATATCGATCCTCGGGATTACGTTACAAGTTTTACCGACTTGTCGCACGCCCGTTGCCAGTCATCGGAGATTTTCGGATCCTCATGCGGGTACACAGTTACAGCACACTTAACAAGTGCGGGAAAAGTATTGTTATAGTTGGCGTCGACTGGAAAAAAAATCTTTAAACAAGGTCTAGCATTTTACACATCAATCTCGAAGTATAGGGTGAAATTTGATCCGGCGCCAGACACGTGTCTCTGCCCATATCAGTTTTGATTGCAGTCTGCAGTGCCGACAGTAACATTAAATAATAAGTCTGCGTGTTGCGATTTCGACTAAAGGTACTTTTATTATTTTACGGCTAATTATAATTAGATAGTTCCACAAAAAAAAATCGAATAAAAATGCTAGTAAACAGACCACATATTTTATGTTTTTGAGGTCGCTGAATCCGAATCTGAGGTTAGTTTGACGCCATCACGTCATAGTTTTTGATAACCTCACAAAATTTGCTTAAGAACCAAGTTATTCATTAGGAAGTAATACAGGAAAATTTGTAATCTAAATCTACTGCGCGCAGAGCCTTAACCTGTAAAAAGCCTAACATCATTTACACTGACCAGACGCTGAGAGTACTTTTGGCATAATATAGTAATATGACCACACAATACTTCAGTGCTAATACTATGCTAGGAGAGGGCAGTGGTATTACTATAGAAATTGCCTTGTAGATTTAGTTGAGTAATTACTTGATTCTTTAGCACATTTTTTGATATTATGAAAAATCATGACGTGATGTCGTCAAATAAACTTCAGATTCGGATTCAGCGACCCCAACAACATAAAATAAATAAGTTGAAAAAGTTGTCATTTTGAATCCCTCCTTGTGGGCAGGTAAAGGATCAAATTTATAAAAAAAAATATATCAAATGGTAGGTAAAGACATAATGCATCTATAAAAAAAACTATATTGATTTGGTCATTTTTAAAAAAATTATGGCAGTTTTAAGTAAAAAAAATTGAATAAATTTAGAAATTTAGCGATTTTTAAATTTGTAGTTTTTTTGGAGATTTCCTCCATTTACGTGGAACGAGGGAAATTTTTTCAATTTTTGAGGGTAATGTCTTCGACTAGATACGATTTGTGATCTGTTGACGTATCGTTGAAAGAAATCGGTTCAGTGAGAGCTATGAAAAAGTGGTAACAGACACAAAAAAATAAATAAATAAAAAAAAACACATCATAGTAAAATTAATACCTTCTCAGTTACGCATCGAAACTAACATATTCTGTTTACTAACACTTTTGATTCGATTTTTTTGTGGAGCTATGTTATTTTAACCATTAAACTTCATTATTGACTTACGCCGAACGAGAATAATACATTAAGAAATATATTTTTTTATTTCATTTACTTGTCAATCATTTCATTTACTAACCAATCAAAATGATTGTTAATAACTTTTAGGTCCAAATTAAGGTAGGTAAGTGAAGCGGACGTCCTAGGACCCGTTATTTGATCATGGATGATCCTAGAATTATCAGAGGCAGGTAGTCCTTGGATGAGGTAGTCGACATAGTTGATTTGAAATCAACGCCAACTTTTATTTCAACATAAATGTGTTCAAATAAAAGTAATTGATTATTTAATCAAGGGCGTAATTAAGGGAAATAGATCTTCGCATTAACAAAAATATTTACGTGGTAAATATATAAATACAAGGGTTTGTTATATCACGACGATATGACTAATCTAATCACTTTTAATATAATATTCATTTCGCAGTAATTTTTTTATACAATTTTTAAATTATGTTAAAAGAATACTTTATATTATTTACCTAAAAAAAAAAATAATACAAATCGTTAATAAAATAAGTTTTATAACTTGTGTTATAAAACACCCATAGAAAAAACTCCTATTATGAAGAATTTATATTAATCTAATTCATTGATATTTTTATAAACAAGAATTGCCAATAACGACCTGAATAAATGTCATAAAATAAAAATTTTCATGAACTAGTTGCTGTAGAAACACAAATTGTGTCATTTTGTGGAGATGTTAGTAAGTCTTATTCGCACAAAAAAATCTTGTTTTTTTTCTTTCCAATTTTACATATTATATATAATTTCATTTAAAATATTGATAATTTTCCACTTTTCCAATTTTTAATTTTAGGCTTATTCATGTAAACGCTATACATAACTATAACTACTTTATATATATTCGATATTTGGGCTTTTAATATTGTATAAATAAAATTATTATTATTAAATACTCCTTTTTTATCAAAAACTATAAAAAATTAGAACTTTTTCTAATAACCATTTGTTGAATTACTCAAATTATGGAATTTATATAGTCGTTTACATAGAAATTATAAAAAATAAAAGTAAATCATACTTTCTTTTTTTGGCAAATTTCTTTTATCCATGTAAACATGGATATATCCTCAAGCACTTCAAGCAACAAGACAATCCATGAAAGTTTTAACACATTCATCTTGGTTGTTATCGACTGGCAAGGCCGCCTAGCTAATATAAATTCTAATTTCTCAAAAAATTCAAATATTTCACTAGACATATCTATCTTTTTTAAAGATTAACATTTTTTCATTAAAGAAATTGAGCTACTTATATTAGATGTGTTATTGAATATGCTTACTAATTGATCATAATATAGTTCTTTTAAAATTATATATTACACATATAAATAACTTGTTAATATATGACTTTAGAATAAACATTTGTTTTAGAATACCAAATTATTTATTTTAATAAAAATTATACCGGGATTCCGTAACCAAAATTATGATAACATTTTGGTATGAAAAAAAGAAAATTATAATTGTAAAATCATCATATGAATTATAAAATAAAGTATTAAACAAAATATTTATTTTCAGGCATCAACTTCCATCACTGATTCTTCTGTTATATCAAACTTTATTTCATTTCTACATAATACTTTGGTTAGACCTGCTGGATAACGATACTTTGACCTAAAATTAAAATGAATATTAACATTCTACTTTAACTATTTATTATTCAATAAAAAAAATTTAATAATAGTTACGTTGGTGGTTTTATATTAGGAGTCAAATAGTTTCTATATGTTTGTGTTCCTTCTTTTTTAATTACACACATATCAACATTACTTCCTGAACCTAAATCATTAAATATACCAGCTAAAATAGCATCACAAGCTAACTTTTTCCCTTCTTCTTCCTGTAGTAAATCGGTAAAATGATTAAAATTTTATCCACTTCAAAGTCATTATTTACAAATACATTCATGTCCATAATTTTGAACTAATGTTTTGGACTCATTGTAGATTCCAAAACATCACATTCAAATTGGAAAAATATGTTAGTAAATAGTTTTAATACCATAAAATCCATGAGATTTTTAACATATGCATAAATTTTAAAGTTCTTATTAATATTTAATTCTTACAGTTAAATTTTCATTCCAACGACTTTCTAGTTCTGAAATTGCAGCCATACTTCCAGAACCCATAGAAATGTATGGGAGTTTATCTATTGATCCATGTGGGTAAATAGAATATAAATGAGTTCCAGTGTTATCAACACCTCCCAAAATTAAAGCAGCCGAAACATAACCCTAAAAAAAATGATAAATTTATTAACATAGAATTCTAAAATTTAATTTTTATTCATATTATCATACCATATATTTAAAAAGGTATTGACGTAATGATCGAGCAGCAAATACTACTGGAACCATTTCATCTGGAAACTTAAAAGCTTGCAATGTAACATTGGCAGATACCATTCGAGTAACTTGATCAGTATCAGCTGCTGTACCAGCTCCACAACACCTTAAAATATTGTTTTGATATGTTATTTCTTACATAATACTTGATTTAATTATTAAAACATACTGCATATATTTTCCAATATAATGAATTTTATCACAATTTTTTTCCATAACAATTGTATCAGAAGTTGCCCGTGTATCTGCAGCTAAAATAACACAGTCACGAGTGGTTACTCCAACAATAGTAGTTCCAGTTTTTCTGAATGATGGCATTTTAAGACCCATTTTTTCTAATCTTGCATTCCTGTAATAGTTTTAAATAATAATTTATATTTTCATTTCAACTGAAATATTCAACAATGAATAATATTTTTATACTAAGTAGAAAAATTATAGTTCAAAAATATAAAATGAACTATAATTGTTCACTTTACTTTTTAATTGAACTTCTAAACATTTTTTGTTCACGTTATTCATTTTGAATAATTATAATTACAAATAATTATTATTATTAAACGGTTTATAAAAATAAATAAATAATAACAAACCTTTCAAGATTCCTGAAAGAAAATGCTCCATTGTCACTCACTGAACTAAAATTTAAAGCCATATTTAAATTACTTGAATGTATAAAAAGGATAACGTTAAACTACAATTTTAGAAAAAATTATGTATAGAATTATTGTAACTAATATTATCTTAAATCATCAAAACGAAAATCATCATAAGTTAACAATTTTGAGGTTATTTTAAAACCGCTTTATCATTATCAAAGAGTTTCTAAACAATTTTTGATATTTCAATATGATATTTTATCAATTTCAACTTAAAAACTCTTTGGTTAGATAAATATAATTGTCGAATTTAAACTTAGATAATACCATATTAATATTTCTGTTCTTTAATAATTAATTTTTAATTTTCACTTTAAATTAGTTTAGTTTTTATGAAAATTCACTTAACAGAGTAATATTATGATTCATTTAAATAAATAAATTTGTAAAATCCATGATATTATATTTGTGATTGAAGAAATTGTTAGTATGTATTTAAATGACATACTTTAAATAAATGTAATTCAGAGATACTATATATATGTATATACACATATATTAATAAAAAATCTCAGTGGTCAATTTATTTAGTAGAATAATCAAATATTTGTAGTAAAAAATTGCCATTCTCTAAATTTTTATCAGTATAGTAGAAGTTTGGAGGAGGTTCAATTAAGGTTATAATCCAATTTTCACTTTGATTCGTGTCTTAATTTTCAAATAATTTTATTTTTCACTTATTTTTAGTTGTTTAATATAATTATAGAAAAAATAAATAATTAACAAGTTAAATTTATTAAAGTTAGATGTACAAAATTGTATAATTTTAATAAAATTAAAATTATAATAATTTCACAAAAATATTAGCTAAAACAAATTTAAATAAAATATAGTGATGTATTGTGTCTTGAAATTTATTATAACAATCTATTTTATAAATAATTTTTGTACAATATTTAAATACTTTGCTAACTTTTTCATTGACTAATTATTAACAACATTACAATTTTTTTAATGTTATAAATACATGGAGTATAATTTTTTTGGATAATTTTGTAAATCTTTAAATATTTTTTAGTTAGCAATTATTGTCATTGATCAATTCTTCTCCTCTTACACAAAACTTTTTATCATAATACATTTTTGAATTGCAATGTTTATCTTTTTAGATAAAATTAAAATGTCAGTATCATTTATTGCATCTTCATTAAGGTTCACAATGTTTGAACCTTTAAAGTATTCAAAATTAAATTCAGTTATATTCAATTTTGTGAGAAACAAATGGAATTTCACACATATGGAGTTACCAGATCCTAAATCTAGAAATTTCAGGCGTGAAATTGAATGGCCTGAAAAATACACTATTAAACCATTAAATAATAAACATTTAGCTGGTAGAGATCCTGTTACTGGTAAGTTATTAAACCATGAATAAAAATTGATTAATAATAATTTATTGATAACACAATAGAAAGTAAACTTTATTTTTGTTTTAGGGAGAGTTGTTGTTAAAGGCCTAGGAGGTGGTATTAAACAAAAGTATCACTGGGTAGATCTAAAACGATTTGGACCTACTGGAGAAAATGATTCGCCAAGAATTGATAAAGTTTTAGAAATACTAGACTGTGGTTGTCGGACAGCTAAAGTTGCTTTAGTTGGTTGTGGTACAAATTTAAAGTATATATTGGCAACAGTCAACATGAAACCAGGAGATTTATTAAAGACATCAGGATTCATTCCACGTATTCCTGGTATAATAGAATTACAGAAAAATGATTTTTGGTTGAAATGTTTCTTATAAAATTATAATTTAAAAAGTATTAAAAAACTGGTTATCGATCAATCAAAATTTTATTTAGTCCAATTTCAAACTAATAGTAAAAAATAATTATAGGTTTCTATTTAACTTTCCAAAGTATAAACTACCCTTTGAAATAATTTTTACGATTAATTTATTTATTGTGGTTCACAAAATTAAATTAAAGTATGTTTCAGTAAAATTAGATAAATTAAATTAAATTAAATAGTAAATTTATAGATATTATTATAAAATAGTTGTATAGATGACTATTTTTCTTCTACGTAATTAAATATTAATGGTTATACATAAAAAATTATCATAGGGATACTGTAGGGTTAACTAGCATATATTAGTTTCTAAAATTGTTTAACAGGTATCAAACTTATTTTAAATCTAGCTTTAGTTTATTTAACATTATCAACTCATATGGAAGTGTATTAAGATTTAAATTATAAGTACATATTGGCTTAGTAGAAAAGTTTTTCTTAACGCTTTGAGTAATAGGTTCTAATCCTATATTGCGTCTCTTTTTTTTTAATGATTTCTAGTACACTTTTGATGAATGGCTATATCATAATGTATCTTGTCCTTTTATATTCCAGTTTCAGTGATATCTTTTTTAATCTGTTTGACAATTATTCAATACATTTTTAACACTAAAAATTAAAATAAAAAATATCTGTTATCATTCTATATAATGAGTGGTTTATCAAAAACCACTCGATTACTCACAAAGTAAATATAATATAGAAAAAAAAGTTGGTTTTTTTTTAGTTACAAATATTTTTTGATTTATCAATATAATTCTTGATTTATTCTCATTTTTATATTTTGACAAGAGGAAGAATATAATAAAAATAACAACACTCGTGTTTCACCTCCAACCACTACTATAAAATGTTAACAACTTTTGAAATATTTTTTCAAAAGTTATTATTGACTTATGATTTTCTTAATAAAGTCATTTTCTATTTAACAAGCTAGTTAATAATGTATCTTGCCATTAAAAACAAAAAATGTTGACATTCTTATAAATTATAAGGGATGGTTTTAAAAAATAGTTAATAGTTTAAAAATATTGTATATATTTTGAAATAATTGAGTATTTTATGATAAAAGTCAATCACCTATATATCAAATATATATCTGATTTATTCATATATTTTTTTTTTTAGTGAATCCAAATGAAGGTGATTGTTATCCACTTGGTGCTTTATCAAAAGGTACACTGGTACATTGTATTGAAAAGTTACCTGGCCAAGGCGGACATTTTGTTATGGCTGCAGGATCTTCTGCTACAATTTTGAGACAAGTAGATGATAGAGTTATAATTCAATTACCATCAAAGCTACAAGTTTCATTATCTAAACATTGTATGGCTACAGTTGGTAAGATATTATTATTTAAAGTAAATACATCATACTCAATTCAAAATTCTTAATTTATAATGGATAATAATAATTAAATGTTTAATCCTCAAAGTTGTTTAAATTTTTCCCAAAAACGAAACAGAGTTAACTCTTAAAAGCAGCCTTGTACACTTTTATATGAATGTGCAATAAAAGTTGTTTAAAACAATTTTTTATTATTTAATACTTCATAAAGTTTTTAAGCATTTCTTGTGGAATTTTGTAAAAATAATGTTATTCTAAATAATATATTTTATTTAAAAAAAGATATCTTAATAGCTAGGTTTAATTAAAATATTAATTCTCCCTTATTGCGACATTTATTTATTCTATTTGATAATTATTTAAATTATTGTGTAATAGGTCAACTATCAAATGAAAATCATTTTAAGGAACATATTGGTAGCCCTAATCGTAATCGTGAACTGGGTAATCGACCTCGTTCAGGTTTATGGCAAAGAAAAACTGGTCGTTTTGGAAGAAAAATCAAGCCTCTACCACCAATAAAGATTATAAATGAAGAAACTAAAGAAAAACCGCCAAAAATTAATTTGTGTATAAGTAGCTTATTTTAATTTTATTTAACATTTATTATATTCATTTATTTGTTGTATATAAAAATTGAAAATAAACGCCTTGGAACTGTACAAAAGTTTTATTTTTTTAAATATTTAAATAATACAAACTACAAATCAATTAACACTATGAATTCATTTGACTCTTTTTGACAACATGGGGTAAATCATACTTTCCTCTTACACATGTAATTTTGACACCAGGCAAGTCTTTACATCTACCATTACGAACTAAAACCACATTATGTTCTTGCAAATTGTGCCCTTCACCAGGTACATAAGCTATCATTTCTTTTCCATTACTCAACCGTACCATAACACATTTACGATTTGCAGAATTTGGCTTCTTTGGTTTTCGAATTAAAGTTTTTAAAACGACTCCTTTCAGAAATGGATTATCACCTAAAGGATTTCTTTTAAATAAAGGTTTTATATGAGGACCAGTCCTGTGCATTTGTTGAAGACTAGCCATGTATCGATACGTATCAACACCTGAAGATTTATTAAACGATAGTAAAGTAATAATTGAATATTCAATTCAATAAACTTACGAGCAGTACTAATAGCTATATTTTTTAAACCCTGAAGTAGTGCATTCATCATTATAAATTGATATTAATATATATAATGAAACTAAAAAAAATTTTACTGAGTGTTCGCTCGTTTAAATCACAAAAATGAAGAAGAAAAAATATTGTATATTAATCTTAATATTACTTACTAACTTTTGTTGTAAAAGTTCAATAAAACTAATACATGCAAAGAGGCTTATCTTAACAAATATCATTTTGATTGCAAGCACATTATTATGAATGATAAGAAATAAAATGGCGTTTATATATGTTGTGTTGCCTATTTTGTTTACTGCCTGGCGTTACAATTATTGTTACTCTTATGAGTTATACTCAAAATAATAATATTTCATTTTTTAACTGGTTTAAAAAAAAAAAAAATAATTCTTTTCATTAGTAACAATTGAATTTCTGCATACGTCATGTTTAGAATAATGCTTTTACTATGTTTATTATACACAATGCTGGTTACTTACTAGCGGCGTATTTAAGAATTTGTTACAAGGAATAGATAATTTTCTAAATATAAAGTGATTAAGTATAACCGTAGACCGTGGTTTTGTGGAATTATCAGTAGGTATTTTTTTTACAGGTAATCTTCTGCCATGAAAAGACTGAAGACATGGCTTCATTAAACTATATTACAGGGAAGATTTAGTAGTTTAGGGATACTTAATATTGATAAAGATATAGAAATAGATGTAACGTCTGTTTTAAATACTTTTGCGTTTTCTAATAGACGAATAAATTTAAAATTGTAAAAACTAATAATTTAGTTAAAATATAATACTTATCACATTATAATACAGAAATACTGTACTGAACAATATTTTTTAATCTATATTAAAATCATAAACTATGTGGCGGTCGAATGTTCTAGAATGTTCGGCCGCCGCCGCCTCTAGAAGATTCGTCGCTCTACATAAGCGTGTGGCGGTCGAATGTCTAGAGAGTTCCGACGCCGCCTCTAGAAGATTCCTCTGACTATTTAAGGGCAAGATCGTCGCTCCAGTCAGTCAGTCGATCAGTCAATCACTTACGCATTCTGTCTTACACGCGCTTCGTTTCTCGCTGTTATTTATTAGTTCGTTGTAATACAGTTCGTCTCTCGCTGTTATTTGTTATTTGTTAGTTCGTTGTAATATAGTATAGTTGTTATTAAATCGTAAAAGTGTTTATTACTTCTATATATTACACCTCGCTACATTGGTGACCTCGACGATAACAAGTATGAACGCCGAAGAACTACGCAATCAATTGGAGGAGTTACGCCAAGAAAACGCTCGCCTTGCAGCACTACAGGCACAGCAATATCCAACAGCTTCAGTGAATCGCGTTGCCGTCAAGTTGCCACCTTTCTGGTCCGAAAGACCGAGCTTATGGTTCTCACAGGTTGACTCGCAGTTTGCAATCTCGGGAATAACAAGTGAGGAAACAAAATTTAATTATGTTGTGGCTCAGCTTGATACGCGTTACGCCGCCGAAGTAGAGGATATTATTACTAACCCACCGCCTACTGAACGCTACAAACATCTACGCGCAAAACTCGTTGAACGGTTGTCTATCTCAGAAGAACAACGTGTGCGGCAACTCATCAATGAAGAAGAACTAGGTGACCGTAAGCCATCACAGTTCTTACGACATCTCCGTTCCCTTGCCGGCACTACTACATTACAAGACAATATTTTACGTCAACTTTGGCTCCGCCGTCTACCATCACATGCACAAGCTATTTTAACCGCACAATCAGAGCTTCCTCTGGATAAGGTAGCCGAGCTGGCTGACAAAATTGTTGAAGTGCAGCCAGCCCCCTCGCAATTCGTCCATGCTGTTGCCACGACGAACAATAAAAAGGAACTCGATGTTTTAGCTGCCATTGAAGCACTCACAAAACAGGTAAGCGAATTATGTGCTAAACGCCCGCAACGTTCCCGCTCTAGGTCACGTAACCGTTCAAACGTGGAACTGACTAACGGCAAAGGATGGTGTTGGTATCATAGCACTTATGGAGAAAAGGCTGCCAAATGTAAGGCTCCCTGCAAGTATCAGGAAAACTCCAACGACAGTCAGTAGCGGCGGCAACAGACTGTCCGAACCCGAGCAGCCGCCTGTTTGTTACAGATCAAATAACAAAACGCCAATTTTTAGTCGACTCCGGTTCCGACTTATCTTGTTACCCTCAACGGCTACTACGGGAACGACGCCATGCCACCGATTACGACCTCAGCGCGGCCAACAACAGTACCATAAAAACTTACGGGACGGTCCATCTCAATTTGAATTTAGGACTTCGACGCAGTTTCCCGTGGAGTTTTATTGTCGCCGACGTGAGTACTCCTATCATTGGTTCCGACTTCATGGCATACTACCACTTGCTGCCGGATTGCCGTACCAAACGTCTTATTGATGGTGTCACAGGCTTGGCTGTGAATGGTAAGGTTTCCTCTGTAAATCAATGCAGCATAAAATCAGTTGCCAACACTTCCCCTTGGACTGCACTTCTCGCAGAATTTCCGGACATCACACGTCCCACCGGATTGCCCAGGACAATAAAACATCAAACAGTGCACCACATTCTTACGACACCTGGTCAGCCAATAGCCTGCCGCCCACACCGATTAGCTCCAGGTAGACTAAAAATCGCCAAACAGGAATTCGCGGAAATGGTCAAGGCAGGTACCGCTAGACCTTCAAGCAGTCCGTGGTCTTCACCATTACATTTAGCACCGAAAGGGGAGAACAGCTGGCGTCCTTGCGGTGATTACCGCGCGCTGAACGCCCGAACTATACCAGACTCCTATCCAGTCAGACACATACATGATTTCTCGCACAACCTGGCTAATTGCACGCTATTTTCCACAATCGATCTGGTAAAGGCTTACCATCAAATACCTGTTAATCCGGACGATATATGCAAAACAGCCATTACCACTCCATTCGGACTTTACGAATTTCCTTTTATGACATTCGGATTGCGAAATGCTGGACAAACTTTTCAACGCTTCATAGACGAAGTTACCAATGGGTTGGACTTCTGTTATGCATATATTGATGACATTTTGGTATTCTCTAAATCGGAAGAGGACCACAAACAGCATTTACGCACTCTTTTCGGGAGACTTTCTGACTACGGTGTTGTCGTTAACCCGCAAAAATGTGTATTAGGTTCGGCTGAGGTGAAATTTCTAGGTTACCTAGTATCTTCTGAAGGCACCCGCCCGCCACCGGAACGCGTCGAAGCCCTACGACAGTATCCATTGCCAAAATCTATGCAAGGATTACGCCGGTTTTTGGGAATGGTAAATTTTTATCGCCGGTTTATTCCCAAAGCTGCCGACCTGCAAGCACCACTTCACGGTATTCTCAAAGGCCCGAAGACAAAAGGTTCCCAACCGATAGAATGGACTCCCGAGTTAGAAAAAGCGTTCACCACATGCAAAGAAAGTCTTGCGACCGCTACTCTTTTAGCACATCCTCATCCAGCCGCACGACTTGGACTATTCACAGACGCATCTAGCCAATCTATCGGCGCATGTCTGCAGCAGCGAGTCAATAACATCTGGCAACCCATAGCATTTTTTTCAAAGAAAATGTCGGTGAAACAAAGTGCGTGGCCTGCGTATTATCGTGAGTTGCTTGCCATCTATGAATCGGTGAAGTATTTCAGGCACATTGTCGAAGCACAACCATGTACCATTTTCACCGATCATAAGCCACTCGTATATGCTTTCACCCAACGGAGAGAAAAGATACCTCCTACGCAACTCAACCAGTTGACATTCATATCCGAATTCACCACCGACATTCAACACATTAAAGGTGATGAAAATATCGTCGCGGATACAATGTCACGCATTGAAGTTGTGTCTCTCCCGCTGGACTACCGAGCTCTTGCTGCATCTCAAGACACGGATGATGAACTCAAACATTTTACTGACAACAATTCATCTCTTCATTTGGAGAAGGTACTAGTGCCAGGATCTTCAGCCTATATTTATTGCGACACGTCAACGGGACGCCCACGACCATTTTTGCCACAACGATTCCGGCGTCACGCATTTGATCAGTTACACAACCTTAGTCACCCCGGTGCACGCGCAACAGCTCACTTAGTTTCAGAACGATTTGTGTGGCCAGCAATGAAAAAGGATTGCCGTTCCTGGGCACGTGCCTGCGTCCACTGTCAGCGATCGAAAATAAGCCGACACGTCTCAGCCCCACTGGGAAACTTTGAAACACCTTCACGCCGATTCAAACATGTTCATGTCGATATCATCGGTCCATTGACGCCATCACAGTCCTTTAGGTACTGTCTGACAGTAATCGACCGTTTCACCCGTTGGTCGGAGGTGTATCCACTCGAACGTATAACAGCAGATGATGTCACTAAGGGTTTCCTCAATTGCTGGATTTCACGCTTCGGAGTACCTCAATACGTTACGACTGACCGTGGTACTCAGTTTGTTTCAGCTACTTTAAAAACTTTAGCAAAACGTTTTGGTTTTACGCTTCGCCCCACTACCAGTTGGCATCCTGCTGCAAACGGATTCGTCGAACGAATGCACCGACAACTAAAGGCAGCCATCATGGCCCACGCAAAAGACTCGTGGACTGAGTCACTGCCTATCGTGCTTCTCGGAATACGTTCTGCGTTTAAGGAAGACTTAAAAGCCACGTCTGCGGAACTTGTTTATGGTGAGCCTCTTAATCTTCCTGGTGATTTCTTCACAGACAAGCAAGATAATAGCAGTACGAACGACCCTACTAGCTTACTAGATCGTCTTCGCAGTGTTATGAATAAAATTCGTCCAGTACCTGCATCTCGCCACTCAAATCCACGATCATTTGTTTTTGCGGACCTTAAGGACTGTTCACACGTATTTCTCAGGGAGGGAGGTGTCCGAGCAGCACTT